GTAACCCTCACTCCACCCTCGCAAAACGCACAACAAAACATTCTGAAACTTACCTTGAGTTCTACCTTAACGCGATCTTCCTCCATTTACGTCACTCCTACAGGCCAATGTGAGTGAAAATACAAGAAGGACTAAGAAGGGGATACAGGGCTGCCATTGGCTGTCTAGTGGCAGCACATCAGGCGTGCTGGTGTCAGATGCCAATTTTGCACAGAATTTCTACCCTTAAGGCGGAGAGCTGCTTAAATATCATAATTTTGAGTAAATGTGATTAAACGTGTTTGTATATCTTTAATCCTTGGGAATAACACACTTAAAGAGTTATTCACTAAGTGAGCATTCAAAGTGAATTCAAACTCAAGGTTAAAACTGCCGGACTAGGAAAATGTGAGATATGCTTCCACTTTGGCTACTTTGCCATTAAATTTGAAATTCACTCAGTTTGAATTCTTACTTTAGCGAATAACCCTTATAATAATGTTATTCGACTCTGTCTTTCTGCCCAGCTATGAGCTTGTTGTGTTCAATGAAGATCAGAGGAGATCATCTCTGTTTGCATTAATGCACATAAATAAGAGCTTTTCAATTAGGTTTTAGTAGCACTTAACATTCTGCAAACCAACCACACAACCCTGTATATGTTAATGGATGTTATCTCTTGCATATGAGAATGCTGTCATTCCCTATAAATAATACAGAGCTCGTCCCTAAACACATTATGTTACGAAATCTTAAGCAATTATAAGTAAGTGAGTGGTCCTCGATTAGCAGAAACAGCATCATGGGAATAATTTCGATATAATACAGAAAGCTTGGCAATAGAAAGAACCAGTAAAAGAATAATGCTTTTAATTCCTGATTATTAAATTATTTTGTTGTAGGCCTTGGGGGTTGCAGTCACAGTGAGTCCTTAATTCTCAGCCATCAAAGAGTAAAACCTCCGCTGACACAGTGAATCAGTCTGTCCATAGATTCCTTCAACGCAAAAGACTGGGTGCAAAATTGTAAAATATCCAAGGCATATTTATTGAACAAAAACAAGCAATTTTTAAGGCTTGAAGATGGCTATGCTTCTTTCTATTCAATAAAGCTGCCTAATAAATGTGTTAACATTTCCAGTTATGTTCCCAGTCTTTTAGGTTGATGGTTTTGTGAAAAGAATCAGGGGTGGACTAACAATGTTAAAAATGGCAATAGGACAATAAAGGCCCCCATTACGCCCCACACACATACAATCACCACATTAGTACAATCACTGCCCACATCCAAGCAGGTTTGTTTCTTTATTGTGAATTACCACCTTGAAATATATATATATAGAAACAAAAAACTAAAAGGAAAAGTTGTGATTGAAAACCCCTTCCACCTGAAGTCTGTGGATAGTTAATACAATGTTAAACAAAATTCTGCACACCAGTCAAGCCATAAGACTTGCTTTTCCCACAGAAATCACAAATCTGCAGTGATGTTACTACCGCAAAGGATTCTGGGTGGGCATATACAAATTAGTTTAACAAAGAATCACATATTTGCCTCATTCCATTTTAAACATGGATTCCTTTGAGTCTGTGTTGGCTGTATACAACAGCTTTGAAACACAACTTACGAAAAGATGCAAAGCCAGTGAACCACTCATGGACAGCTGTTTCATTGTTAATGCAAATCATCAGCGTGAGGTTGGTTACTGGTTTGCTACTAGGGCTTGGTAGTGCTTGGGAAACAAAAACCAAAGAGGTTATGGTGGGGAAAAAATTGTGATTGAAAACCGCTTCCACCTGAAGTCTGTGGATAGTTAATACAATGTTAAACAAAAATCTGCACACCAGTCAAGCCATAAGACTTGCTTTTCCCACAGAAATCAAAAATTTGCAGTGAGCTTACTACTGCAAAGGATTCTGGGTGGACATATCCAAATTAGTTTAACAAAGAATCACATTTTTGCCTCATTCCATTTTAAACATTGATTCCTTATATCTATATAAGGAATCCATGTTAATATATATATATATATATATATATATATATATATTAATAGGATATAGCTTAAACCAGATATAGTTATTTCTGTAAATGGATATTTGATCTATGCTTCATTTATATCTTTTCAAGAAAACAATCTTAGCTCAGTGGAGCCCCAAACCAAGACCTTAGTTCAATTTAAGCATACTTACATAGTTACATATCTGAAAAAAGACATGTGTCCATCACATTTTTCTCACATCTGTTTGTGCTGTTGATCCAAAAGAATGCAAAAAAAAAAAGCGCTTTTCTAATTTTGCAACAGACTAGAAAAACATGTATGTATGTATGTATGTATTCATTCATAGAATGTGATGGCAGATAAGAACCATAAGTCCCTGGCCTTATCTTATAGCTAGGATAGCCTCATGCCTATCCCACGCATGCTTAAACTCCTTTACTGTGTTAACCTCTACCACTTTAGATGGAAGGCTATTCCATGCATCCACTACCCTCTCAGTAAAGTAATACTTCCGGATATTATTTTTAAACCTTTGCCCCTCTAATTTAAGACTATGACCTCTTGTTGTGGTAGTTTTTCTTCTTTTAAATATAGTCTCCTCCTTTACTGTGTTGATTCCCTAATTGTATTTAAATGTTTCTATCATATCCCCCTGTCTCGTCTTTCCGCCAAGCTATAGTGGCTGTTTAAACATCTGTACAGACTATGATAAAACCACCTTTTAATTGAGAGTATTCCAAATCATTATTGTTCTCACTGTAAAAAAAAACCTTTCCTTTACCTTAGACTAAATCTCCTTTTTGTACTCCATCTTCAAGCCAATGATCTACCCAAGAACAAGAATTGTAATCTACACCAATTTTTTTTAGTTTTAATGATAACCTATTGTGTGGTACCGTATGAAATGCATTTGCAAATTCCTAGTAGATTACATCCACTGCAACACCCAGATCAATACTTCTACTTATTTCTTCGTAGAATGAATACAATTAAGTTACTTTGACATGACCTATGTTTCATAAAACCATGTGGATTTGAGCTAACAAAAATATTCTTTCCAATTAATTCCTAAAAATGACCTCCTAATAACCATTCCAGGACTTTCCCAGCCACAGAAGTTAAGGTCACATGTGAATAATTTCCAGGCAAAGATTGTGAACCTCTTTTCAATATAGGAACTACATCTTCCTTCCTCCAATCCTCCGGTACAATTCCTGAAATAAAATAACTCTGACACATTAAAAATAGAGGTTCACTTATTTCAACACTTAGCTCATTAAATACTCCTAGATGAATACACTCAGGCCTTTGTTTACAGGAGCTTTGTTCACATTAACTTTCTTTAGTTGAAGTAGCAACTTGTCTTGAGTCATCCAATCACAATTTTCACAAAGTTCTTTGCAGCAATCATTTGCATATCTCTTGACATAGGTTCCTCCTTAATATATACTGATGAAAAATAGTTATTTAAAATGTCTGCCTTTTCTTGCACTTTATTTACTAGCACACCCATTTTAGTGTACATACACTCTAATTTTTTTCATTTATTAATTTATTTTAAATATATTGTGATCCTTGTCAGCAGGTAGCACGGTCCTCTAGGGCAAAACCATGCACAGTCTTTTAATGCAACTTCATTCCAGGCACTTTATTTGTACGTTTACATATGAGGCAGCAGCAAATGAAAACATAAATAGAACAGGTTTCCCTTTAAAAAAAAAACTAGCTCGTCTGAGCACTGACTCACTTTGAATAACCCTCTCTATCAGGGTTAAACTAACAAAACATACTGCACCAACCTTATTAGATAGCAACACTCTGCTAGCTAGCCTGTTGCTTTTCTTTCTCCAGTGCTCCAAGCCAGCCTTGCCCTGACTGCTTTCCTTTCTGCACTCCTAGTGCTCCAAGCCAGCCTTGACTGCTTCCTCCTGCACTCCCAGTGCTCCAAGCCAGCCTTGACTGCTTCCTCCTGCACTCCCAGTGCTCCAAGCCAGCCTTGCCCTGACTGCTTTCCTTTCTGCACTCTCAGTGCTCAAAGCCAGCCTTGACTGCTTCCTCCGGCACTCCCACTGCTCCAAGCCAGCCTTGACTGCTTCCTTTCTGCACTCCCAGTGCCTAGTCTCCTTGACTCTCTATGTGGAGAGAACAGCCTCTCTCCTACCTGCTTCCTGGGAGGAAGCCAGCAATCCCTCTCTATCCTGCCTAGCCGGGAGAGGTTTATTCCCACTGCAACAGCTCATTAACTGCAGCTGAGCAGTGGGTTGGAGACGGTCCAAAAAACCCTGGTCTGGATCTATGTCTCCCCAGAAAACCACTAAACTGTGGAGTGGAGCATTGGCCCACCCTTCTCTCCAAATGCTCCACCCCAGGGGCCCATAACTAAACAAACCTTTGTGTTGTGCACACAAACTACATGTACTTCCCCTGGGGTTAAAAGGCCTATCTGCCTTCACTTTATCACAATATGTACTTAAAATGTTCTGCTCTCTTTGGCTATCACTTTCTAATTTTCTAGTTTTAGCAAATCTAATCGCCTTTTCGCCTGCACTATTAGCTTTCTTATATATTATACAGCCTGATTTGCCTGATTTAAATACTTTAAAGGCCTTTTTCTCATTTTTTTAATTTCTTGGTTTTCTTTCGCACTAAACCACATTGGTTTGAAATAATTTCCGTTATTTTTTACAAAATGATACATACTGAGAAGTGTATCTTTCTAACATTTGTTTGAAAATATTCCATTTACCCTTTTTTATTTTCATTAAAGACACCATATTGTGATCACTATTTTTTAAGTGCTCCCCTAGTTGAATGTTTTCCAAAAGATCAATATTGTCTGTTATAACAAGATCCAGACAAGCGTCCTTTCTAGTTGGTGCTTGTACTAGTTGTGACATGAAGATGCCATTTAACAGGTTAAAAATTCTGATTCCCCTAAATATATGCTTGCCTTCCAGGAGGATTCGTTGGAATCCTCACAAAGGATCTATCTTATATCAACAGTATTTTAAGTTCAACAATGAAATTGGGACTCAGCAGAAAGAGCAGAGAGCTGGATGACCGTGATATTTCTCTTTACTTGACTCCATCTTACTTTGAACTTTACTATTTTGTGTTCAAATTAAAAGTTGAACTGTTTCAAGAAAACACCAAGCTTTCTGCAATCCAGGAGTTGTTTGTGAGGATGGGCTATGGGTGAGGAGAGGGCCTTAGGGTATGGTCTTTGTTTCTATTGTGCACCTGCTCATTGTGAATTTTGCCAGAGAGATGTTGATCTCGTCTTATATCCAAAACAATGGCCACTTGTCCTGTTTCATGAACTTACCTAGTTAGAGCTGGAGACACTAATCACACCTTGTTAATTAGCAACCTCTAACTTCAGACCTTAGTTAAGACACATATACATTTATAATTAGCATGTTGCCTAGGGATGGTCAATGTACCTTGTACAAGGATGGACACTATAAATTGTATGCATAAGAAGGATCCATAATATATCATTTGTATATCTAAAATATTGACAATATTACTGTATGGTTCAATAAACGTACCTAGTCATCAAAAGAACCAGCTGAATGGATTCCTATGCATAATTTTGGCTCTTCCCTTGAGATTGTGACACTGCACAATGTGGCACCCTCTGCTAAGATGGCAAACTTCCATGATCCATCACCTCTGATACATGAAATTACTCCTAAACCAGTGGCCAAGACAATGATTTTGACACTGCGAACAGACCTATTAATGAAGATATTGTCTTGCCTATCCTTGCATTCCTGATACAACTGTGGTATGCCGAGTTCATAAATGCATTCCCTGAAACCAAGATGAACGTACCCAGCACCACTGTGCAACATATCTCTGAGGCTATACCTGCCCTTTCAGATGAGGAAACATCTATTGTTCCTGAAGATGGTATCCTGCCTGTCCTTTACCTGAGTCTGAAACCAAAGTGGGTACATGCACGGTCTCTGTGCTATCTATCCCTGATGTCCTATTTGTCCCTTCTACCTTTAAAACCTTGCCTGTTCCACTCCCCATCCTTGCTTTTCTAATTCTACTGTTATATGAAGAATTAATACCTGTTCTTCTTAAAGTAACAACCAGACACAAATTGGGAATCTCTGACACAAACCTCCTAGGGACACCAGTTATGTTGGGATGTGGGCACGGGAACCCAAGTTATTGTGTGCTTTGTTGCCCCGGTACCAGGGTGTCTGGCCGCTAATTAAGTTATCTGCTCAGGTTCAAGCACCAAGACGCTGGGGATCTCGCAAGGCACCATGACGTTAGCAGTAGATCCTTTAAGTCCTGCATGTTGCAAGGTGAGACCTCCATGGGTCAGGTTCAGTGGCGTACACACAATCCATGGGGCCCCGGTGCGAAACTGATCCATGTCTCCCCCCTACTTCCCCCTCACCCCCTCTCTATTCCCCAGCCCAACCCCCTCCCTATTCCCCCCGATAGACACACACACACACACACACATACATACATAGAGACACACACACATAGGCACATACACACCGACACACACACATACATACAAACAGACAGGCACACATATATATACATACATACAGACAGACAGACACACACACACACACACACAGACACATACATACAGACCGACGCATACACACACACACTGACACACACACACATACAGGCACACAGACAGACACATACATATAGACAGACACACAAACAAAGACATATACATACATACAAGCATGCATACACACAGGAAGACATACAGACAGGCACACACATACAGACAGGCATACATACATACACACACATACACACACACACACACGACGCACCTACATACATACATACAAACAGACAAGCACACACACACACACACAATCAGACATACAGACAGGCACACATACAGACAGACACATACAGACACACAGACAAACACACATACATACAAAGACATACATACAAACAGGCACACATACATACAGGCAGACACATACAGGCAGACACACACACACAGACAGACACACACATATACAAATAAACAGACAAGCACACACACAGACATACAGACACACACATACATACAAACAGACAAGCACACACACAGACATACAGACACATACAGACACACAGACAAACACACATACATACAAAGACATACATACAAGCAGGCACACATACATAGAGGCACACACACACAGACAGACAAACACACACACACACACAACATTTAAGTCACCCTCCTGTTTCTTACCTTTTAGGTGCAGGAGGGTGACTGGGGTCCAGTGGTGGCTCAGGTGGATGGGAGTCAGAGTTCCCACTTCTTCCTCCCGCGCGGGCTCTCTGTATGCTGGAAGGAGTGACGTGCAGTCACTTCCTCCCAGCTCAGAGTTATGTAATCAAAGGGGGCTCGGTCACACTGTTAAGGCACCCAGCGCTGACCGGGCCCCCTTACAATCCATATCCATCGGTTGGCCTTTGATGGCGGCCCTGGCGGTTTGCTGCACGGGCTGGGGCCGCAAAAAATAATGGCGGGTACCCAGTTGCAGGGGTCTGCAGGGCGGCCGGGACCCCTGGAGTGATGGGCCCGGTCGCAGCTACGACCCCTGCGACCGCGGTATGTAGGCCAGTGGTCAGGTTTGTTGTTCCAGCGTATCCCACAGATGCTCAATCGGATTGAGATCTGAGGAAAATGGAGGCCAAGGCAACACCTTGAACTGTTTGTCATGTTCTTCTAACCATTACTGAAAATCTTGTAGTGTGGCAGGATGCATTATCATGTTAAAATAGGCCATGGACATGAATGGGGTGTATGTGTGCTGCAACAATCTTTAAAAAGGTGGTATGTTTCAAAGTAACATCCACATGAATGGCAGGGCCAAAGGTTTTCCAGCATATATGTTTTGTTCTTGTATGTTTTGTAAATGCTAAATTAAAATCATATCCTTTTATTTCCTTTCATTTAATGAACAGTTTATTTTCTTTTATAATCAAGGCTGATCAGCTACCATCTTTGCATTAATTTATATTATGATCTCTCTTTTCATATGTTGCTTCGAGATCAATGCCCCAAAATTGTCTACTTACAACATTTTTTAGGAAACTAAGACATTTTCAACATTATCACCTTGATTTCATAGGACGAGAACACCCTCAATGTCTTAAATGTGTCTTATTAACCAAAACACTCTCCCCAAAAACATTTTTACTTATTTGATTTCAAATTTACGAATAATAAAGCAATACGTGTATATTCATTCTAAATAATGTGAGTTATTTCAGGTGTTACAAATCTTTATGAAGCTTAAACCTCTTTTTAATCGTGATTCATGAACAAGGCAACACACTAATTACACATAATCCGGATTAGTTTCCCAGTGAGAGCATAACAGGTAACAAAGACGGATTAAGTAGTCATGAATCAAGGCTTTGTAAGTAATAATAACATATAATACATATATAACACTAACATGCAATAAACTGATTTAAACTGATTTAAAGCAAACCTTCATGCCAGTGCCGAAATTAATGACTCAAGTACAATTTATTTTCCATCACGCTCAATGTTATTAGCATTGGAAAATTGGGCATATATGGACACAGAGTTGGCTGCTGGATGAAAAACTGTAGTGTTCATGGCCTTTAAATCACAGTTAGTTAGTCCATAGAATCCTCCTGTTTTCCATGTCAATATTCTATGTAGGGTTCATTTAAAGAATACTGACAGTTTAAGCATTTGTTTCACAACCTTATTCAATGCAAGTAGGAACCATGAAATCTGGAATTTTCATGCACACTGAAGACAAAGAAACACAAGTCAGGGCAAGAGTTGTATGATTTATGTCCGCTCGATGTATTGCATTCTGAGAGATGTCATATCGAGCTTTTATAGGTATTCCCACATATGAAGTGTTCTATTGCCATCAGTACGAGGTGGGAGATTTCATCAGAATGAAACAGCTCAAAAAATCTCGAACCCTAAGTAGAAAACTCATAATAAAGGAAGAACATCCATGTTAGTAAGCCAAAGTATATTTGTATACTTGTTTACATGTACTTTAAGAGTTACTTATTAAACTTAAGCTCAACTCCCATCACTGAAGATGGACTACAAGATTTGTAATCCACAAACTTAACAAATGGATAACTGTACATATATAAATCGTTAGAGCAGCAATCTTAGTATTACACCTAAAGCTCATTGTAGTGGATGTGGTGAAAATAATTCCAGTGTGCTATTTCCCCAGGCTTAAGGCAGTATATTTTTCAGTAGGTTGATAAAACTGGCACATACAGCCACCCCCTCTGCTGCTGATTGGCTGATGTAGAAGTGGACTTTCTCATTGGCACAATGATAGCCCAACTTTGGGCAGCAATGATAGGCCAAAGCCACTGTGTTAAGCCACTATAAGAGCCGCTCTCAACCAATCATTGACACCCAGAGCTGGACAGGTTAACATAAGTCTGCATTAGTTAAGCTGCAGCAGTGGGTATGGATGCTAGGTACTGGTATAGAGCTAGTTTGAGTCAATTGTTCAAAAACAATTTGATACAAACAAATGGGATGGCGCACAAAATACTATGCACCATATCAATTACAATGCGTTGCATAGGTGATTATAGTGTTCCTTTAAATTAGCTTGTTTACTATAATTATATGGCAATAAAAAGTGATCTCACCAGCCAACACTACAATGATCTAATATATTTTTAACTGTATGCCCTTTCCAGGCTTACATTCAACCCACCTAATATATAATAGCAGCACCAAATATCTTAACAAAGGGCCAGGGTTTCCTTTTTGCCAATGTGCACCTGATACAACACTATTGAATGCTTATGACACTGGATCCTATTTATATTGTTGCTCACAGTATGTGTACTAAGTAATATGGCTGGAAACCTTTCAATGGGCTTTTGTTCAAGAGTTAGGGCATTTAGAGGAAACTTTTAATCATAACAAAGTGGTTGTGTCTGCAATCAAGCTGCTGTAACAATACCATATGGAAAATGGGCAGCACTCAACCATCTCTTATCACTTAGCTGCAAGGTGACCTCCGTGTTCAGTGACTGGGAATCTCTGCGTTTCTTGCTAAACCTAGGAAATTTGTATTACAAATAATTGAATGTAATTACGTTCATGCCGAGGAAAGAAGGACAGGTGGTTAGAATCTGAGGAGAGGCTGTGATAAGACAACAAATATCATGCGATGAAAAAATAAAAACAAAATGATATGACTGAGAAAGGAACATACAAGGATAAAGCAAGGTGAGCACAGGATATGGATTGTAGATAACAAAAAGGGGAAATGGAAATTGACTTTGCCTAAAACTGCAGTCAGGGGGTAAATACGATGAGCTGTCACTCCATTAATGCTAACCCTTTTACAGCAAAGATACAAAAAAAGACCTAGTAAGTGTCTAAATTATTATTTTAAAAAATATATATATTATAATGAATATATTTAATTGAATAAAACACATGAGAGCTATGCAGCCTCTATATAATATATCTTCTATTTCAGTAAAAAAAAAAATGTTTGGGATTCCTCAAGTCAACAAAGAAGACCCAATATACAGCTTCCTCTATGTGATTAAATGTGCTGGGCCACCAAGTCCCCATGCTCACATATAAAAAGCATATGTTAGGAAGGTATCCAAGCAGCTGAGTATCCCCGATTCCCTGTAAGATAAAAATTGGTGTCCCAAACCTCCTTAAAGGACCACTATAGGCACCCAGACCACTTCAGCTTAATAAGGTGGTCTGGGTGCCAGGTCCAGATAGGATTAACCCTTTTTTTAATAAACATTTTATAAACATTTATAAACATGTTTACACTGAGGGTTAATCCAGCCTCTAAAGCCTCTAGTGGCTGTCTCATTGACAGCCGCTACAGGCGCTTGCGTGCTTCTCACTGTGAAAATCACAGTGAGAAGACGCCAGCGTCCATAGGAAAGCATTATGAATGCTTTCCTATGAGACTGGCTGAATGCACGCGCGGCTCCTGCCGCGCATGCGCATTCAGCCGATGATATCGCTAGGATGAAGGAGAGGAGGAGGAAA